GCCTAACACAATAGACCTCAGCACGAGGCTCTGGGGAATAAAGCCCACAAACTCTGTAGTTATTCCCCAGAGCCTCGTACTGAAGTCTATTGTTTTAGCCTGAATTTTAATATATCGAAATTGGTCTATTAACGATAGATGCAAATAAAATAGAATAAGACCTTAAATATCGAAAAGGGTCACTTTCTTAAAGTGACTCAACTACTTTTGTCGCCCATTGCAGGCACATTGTAATTTCTTGCTGAAAACTGCCACACTTTACCTAGGAATTATCACGTAAGGTCATTCCCCCGAAAAAGAACGCACGAAAGACTTTCATTCAAATTTTGCCCGTTAGCTGCTTATATCAAGAGAACTTAAATTTTGAAATAGAAAGGGGTCCCGGTATTCGTTTAGGAACAGGAAGACAATCAATAAACCCCATAATTCCCTAAATTATCTGCTTTTAGAAACTTTTGTATTTGAACCACTCACTTTACGCTTTGTGAGAGCAGAAAAATAGGGAGAAAGTTACGCGAGAAATACAACAATGGATGTATTGCAGCACTGTTAAGGAGCAATTTGATGTACGTATCATGATAAAGGCACCCATATTTAGTCGACAGGGATTCAATATGTTCCAGGCACACAGTGCTCTTGAGGGCACATATCCTTTAAGAGTGCTAGCTATGCTCTCATTTTCAGTGATAATTTTTTACGCTGCAATAGAAATTGGTCTGTATTCACTGTGTAGAAAGAAGTTGATCGCTGCATTCAAACTAAATTTTAAAAAATCGTTAGGTCCGGTACTCGCTTCCAAGAAAAAAACGATGATTTGTCTCTCGCAAGCCAAACCGTTTAGAAAAAGCCACCATTTCGTAATGTTGTGTATATGCACGCCCTCGCGAGCGCGCACTACTGACGCGAAAATCCTGCGCAGGAGGGATGCGCAATGCAATACTGAGGAATAACCCTAAGAACCCCTTGACCGATTCATGCGCGCGCTCGCGCGAACTGCTAAGGGTGAAATTTCACTTCCGGTTACTTGCGTCAACCTGAGCGCGGAAAATTTAAACAATCCAAACACTTGCAAATTCGGTTACATTTTAGATGTTTTTGTCTGTGTTTCACAAAATTCAAAGTAACAAAGTACAATCATAAACAAACTAAAAGAAAAACAGAAAAACAAGCGCAAAAGGAAAAAAACCATCTCCGTGTTACTTTCGTGTGCTTCGTTTGATCTTATCGAGGTGCTGGGTAGTATAAACTGCGCGCGCACTGATAGGGTAACTACAGATAGATATCGCGGGCACTTTCGGTTACTTCAAATGCTAA